AAAAATTATTTTCAAAACTCCCACTCTAACTCAAAAATTACTCTCTCTCTATCCCAAAAAATTATTTTCAAAACTATCCCCGTATCTCAAATTTTTTTTTATAAAAACTCTCTCTATCTCAAAAAATTATTTTCAAAACTCCTCACTCTATCTCAAAAAAATTATTTTCAAAACTCCCACTCTAACTCAAAAATTACTCTCTCTCTATCCCAAAAAATTATTTTAAAAACTCTTTACTCTATCTCAAAAAATTATTTTCAAAACTCCTCACTCTATCTCAAAAAAAATTATTTTCAAAACTCACACTCTAACTCAAAAATTACGCTCTTTCTATCCCAAAAAAATATTTTCAAAACTATGCCTCTATCTCAAAAAATTATTTTAAAAACTCCTCACTTTATCACAAAAAAATTATTTTCAAAACTCCCACACTAACTCAAAAATTACTCTCTCTCTATCCCAAAAAATTATTTTCAAAACTATCCCTCTATCTCAATTTTTTTTTATCAAAACTCTCTTTATCTAAAAAAATTATTTTCGAATCACTCCCTCTATCCCAAAATATTATTTTCAAAACTTTCTCTCTATCTCAAAAAATTATTTTCAAAACTCCTCACTCAATCTCAAAAAAATTATTTTCAAAACTCCCACTCTAACTCAAAAATTACTCTAACTATATCCCAAAAAATTATTTTCAAAACTATCCCTCTATCTATTTTTTTTTTTTTTCAAAACTCTCTCTATCTCAAAAAATTATTTTCGAATCACTCCCTCTATCCCAAAAAATTATTTTCAAAACTCTCTCTCTATCTCAAAAAATGATTTTAAAAACTCTTACTCTCTCTCAAATAATTATTTTCAAAACACTCCCTCCCTCTATCTCAAAAAAAATTATTTTCAAAACTCTCTCTCTATTCCAAAATATTATTTTCAAAACTATCTTTCTATCTCAATTTTTTTTTTTATCAAAACTCTCTCTATCTCAAAAAATTATTTTCAAAACTCCTCACTCTATCTCAAATAAATTATTTTCAAAACTCCCACTCTAACTAAAAAATTACTCTCTCTCCATCCCAAAAAATTATTTTCAAAACTATCCCTCTATCTCAATTTTTTTTTTTATCTAAACTCTCTCTATCTCAAAAAATTATTTTCAAAACTCTCTCTATCTCAAAAAATTATTTTCAAAACTTCTCACTCTAACTCAAAAAATTATTTTCAAAATACCCTCTCTATCTCAAAAAATTATTTTCGAATCACTCCCTCTATCCCAAAAAATTATTTTCAAAACTTTCTCTCTATCTCAAAAAATGATTTTCAAAACTCAAACTCTAACTCAAAAAATTATTTTCAAAATACTCTCTATCTCAAAAAATTATTTTCGAATCATTTCCTGTATCCCAAAAATTATTTTCAAAATTCTCTCTCTTTCTCAAAATATTATTTTCAAAATTCCATCTCTATCTCAAAAAATGATTTTCAAAACTGACACACTAACTACAAAAATTATTTTCAAAATACTCCCTCTATCTCAAAAATTATTTTCAAAACTCACACTCTAACTCAAAAAAATTATTTTCAAAATACTCTCTCTATCTCAATAAATTATTTTCAAAACTCTCTCTATCTCAATAATTTATTTACGAATCACTCCCTCTATCCCAAATAACTATTTTCAAAACTCTCTCCCTATCTCAAAAAATTATTTTCAAAACTCTTCACTCTAAAAAATGATTTTCAAAACTCACCCTCTAACTAAAAAATTATTTTCAAATACTTCCTCTATCTCAAAAATTATTTTCAAAATACTCCCTCTATCTCAAAAATTATTTTCAAAATACTCCCTCTATCTCAAAAATTATTTTCAAAACTCTCTCTATCTTAAAAATTTATTTTGGAATCACTCCCTCTATCCCAAAAAATTATTTTAAAAACTCTCTATCTCAAAAAATGATTTTAAAAACTCTTACTCTCTCTCAAAAAATTATTTTCAAAACACTCCCTCTATCTCAAAAAATTATTTTCATAACACTCCCTCTATCTCAAAAAATTATTCTCAAAACTCTCTCTCTATCCCATAAAATTATTTTTAAAACTATCCCTCTATCTCAAATTTTTTTCAAAATACTCCCTCTATCTCAAAAATTATTTTCAAAACTCACACTCTAACTCAAAAAATTATTTTGAAAATACTCCCTCTATCTCAAAAATTATTTTCAAAACTCACACTCTAACTCAAAAAAATATTTTCGAATCACTCCCTCTATCCCAAAAAATTATTTTCAAAACTCTCTCTTTATCTCAAAAAATTATTTTCAAAACTCCGATCCCCACTCTAACTCAAAAAATAATTTTCAAAATACTCCCTCTATCTCAAAAATTATTTTCAAAACTCATACTCTAACTCAAAGAATTATTTTCAAAATACTCTCTCTATCTAAAAAAATTATTTTCAACACTCTCTGTATCTCAAAAAATTATTTTCGGATCATTTCCTATATCTCAAAAAATTATTTTCAAAATTCTCTCTCTATCTCAAAAAATTATTTTCAAAACTCTCACTCTAACTCAAAAAATGATTTTCTTTTTTTTCTGCTAAGAATTATTATAGGACCCAATTCATTCAACAATTGGATTTTTGGAGTTATCGGGTTATTAGTCTAGGATTTCTCTTTTTAACCATAGGAATACTTTCGGGAGCGGTGTGGGCTAACGAAGCGTGGGGATCTTATTGGAGTTGGGACCCAAAAGAAACTTGGGCTTTTATTACTTGGATTGTATTCGCAATTTTTTTACTTCAAAACACACACTCTAACTCAAAAACTTATTTTCAAAATACTCCCTCTATCTCAAAAATTATTTTCAAAACTCAAACTCTAACTCAAAAAATTATTTTCAATACTCTCTCTCTCTATCCCAAAAAATTATTTTCAAAACTCTCTCTATCTCAAAAATTTATTTTCGAATCACTCGCTCTATCTCCAAAAATTATTTTCAAAACTCCTCACTCTAACTCAAAAAATGATTTTCAAAACCACACTCTAACTCAAAAAATTATTTTCAAAATACTCCCTCTATCTCAAAAATTATTTTCAACACTCACACTCTAACTCAAAAAATTATTTTCAAAATACTCTCTCTATCCCAAAAATTATTTTCAAAACTCTCTATATCTCAAAAAATTAATTTCGAATCACTCCCTCTATCCCAAAAAATTATGTTCAAAACCCTCTCTCTATCTCAAAAAATGATTTTAAAAACTCTTACTCTAACTCAAAATATTATTTTTAACACTCCCTCTATCTAAAAAAATTATTTTCAAAACACTCCCTCTATTTCAAAAAATTATTTTCAAAACTCCCTCTCTATCCCAAAAAATTATTTTCAAAACTTTCCCTCTATCTCAAAAAAATTATTTCCAAAACTCTCGCTCTAACGCAAAAAATTATTTTTCAAAACTTTCTTTCTTTTTCAAAAAATGATTTTCAAAACTCACACTCTAACTCAAAATATTATTTTCAAAATACTCCGTCTATCTCAAAAAATTATTTTCAAAACTCCTCACTCTATCTCAAAAAATAATTTTCAAAACACACACTCTAACTCAAAAAAATTATAACACACACTATAACTCAAAAAATTATTTTCAAACTCTAACTCAAAAAATCATTTCCAAAATACTTTCTCTATCTCAAAAAATTATTTTCAAAACTCTCTCTATCTCAACAATTTATTTTCGAATCACTCCCTCTATCCCAAAAAAATTATTTTCAAAACACTCTCTCTATCTCAAAAAATTATTTTCAATACTCCTCACTCTAACTCAAAAAATTATTTTCAAAATACTCCCTCTATCTGAAAAATTATTTTCAAAACTCTCTTAACCTCAAAAAATTATTTTCGAATAACTCCCTCTATCCCAAAAAATTATTTTCAAAACTCTCTCTCTCTCTATCTCAACAAATGATTTTAAAAACTCTTACACTATTTTAAAAAATTATTTTCAAAACACTCCCTCTATCTCAAAAAATTATTTTCAAAACTCTCTCTATATCAAAAAATAATTTTCAAAACTCACACTCTAACTCAAAAAATTATTTTCAAAACTCTCTCTATCTCAAAAAATATTTTTCAAAATTCTCTCTATCTCAAAAAATTATTTTAAAAACACTCTCTCTATCTCCAAAAAAAAAAATGATTTTCAAAACACTCTCTCTATCTCAAAAAATGATTTTCAAAACACTCTCTCTCTATCTCAAAAAATTAATTTCAAAACTCCTCACTCTTTCTCAAAAAATTATTTTCAAAACTCTCTCTAACTCAAAACATAATTTTCAAAATACTCCCTCGATCTCAAGAAATTATTTTCCAAACTCTCTCCCTCTCTATCAAAAAATTATTTTCGAAATAGTCCCTCTATCTCAAAAAATTATTTTCAAAACTCTCTCTATATCAAACAATGATTTTCGAAACGCTCTCCCTATCTCAAAAAATGATTTTCAAAACACTCTCTATCACAAAAAATGATTTTCAAAACACTCTCTCTATCTCAAAAAATTATTTTCAAAACTCTCTCTCTATCCCAAAAAATGATTTTCAAAACTCTCTCTCTATCCCAGAAAATGATTTTCAAAACTCACTCTCTATCTCAAAAAATGATTTTCAAAACTCTCTCTCTATCCCAAAAAATGATTTTCAAAACTCACTCTCTATCTCAAAAAATGATTTTCAAAACTCACACTAACTCAAAAAATACTCTCTCTATCTAAAAAAAAATGATTTTCAAAACTCACACTCTAACTCAAAAAATTATTTTCAAAATACTCCCTCTATCTCAAAAAATTATTTTCGAATCACTCCCTCTATTCCAAAAAATTATTTTCAAAACTCTCTCTCTATCTCAAAAAATGATTTTCAAAACTCACACTAACTCAAAAAATGATTTTCAAAACGCTCTCTCTATCTCAAAAAATGATATTCAAACCACTCTGGGAAAGAAGATTTACAGGCATGTTCAGCCTCGTTTCGACTGTTCTGCCATGATCTACGTTTCGCGAGAGCCCCGGGTGGGGGAGCTTCTCCTGCACATTGCCAGACAAGTAGGGTGTCCAGATTTGGGGGAGGAGTGGAGCAAAGAAGGCCCTGAAGGGAAGCTTTGTTCATATCTGAGACACAAAAAGTATGTCATTCTCCTTGATGACATCTGGGATGTTGAAACATGGGATGCACTGAGACTAGGACTCCCAAGTGACCCCAAAAGTGGCACTAGAATCATCATTACCTCCCGGGACACAGCTGTGGGGAGATACATTGGAGGTGAATCTTCAATTCATGAAATGCATCCTTTAGGTTCAGATCAAAGCTGGAAACTTTTCTGCAACCAAGTAATGATGCCAGAACACAGCGCGGAAACTGCATATCCAAAGGAGCAGATAGTGGAAAGCTGCGGAGGTGTGCCACTATCCATTGTAGTTATAGCGGGTGTGCTGCGCGAGAGAGGGACAATCATCACAAACCAAGTCCTTGAGGACATAAGACATGAAGATCAGCATTATGGACAAGACAGATGTACTAGGTTTGTGTCTCTGAGTTATGACAATTTGCCCATTCCACTCAAAGACTGTTTCCTGTACTTGGGGCTTTTCCCAAACTCCCAAAGGGGCAAGAAATATTAGCTTTCGACCTCATTAACATGTGGGTAGCTGAGAAGTTCATATTCCAACAAGACCACGAGGATGTTGCAGAATGGTACCTTAACAGTACGTTAGTCTCCAGAAACTTAGTTCAAGTTGCTAGCAGGAGAAACAGTGGGAGGATAAGAAGCTGTTTTTATCCTCCTGTTAAGGTTTGTTTACCAAATCTGCAGACTCTTCACATGGTGAGCACTGAGCAGCGAAGATCTGGAACGCTGCGGGCTGTTCCACTTCACCAGTCTGAGAAAACTAGGAATCTTCGAGGTGTCCGAGGAGCTTATATTGAGAATGTTTCTAATCTGAGGGAGCTCATTTCTGACGACCACATAGGACTGCCTAAACTCGAGAAAGTTGTCATCAGAAACTGTATACCTCTCACCAGAATTACTGGGAAGATATTGATGGCAATGTGGGCTAAATCCACAGGGACTGCCACAGTCTCATTGCAAATGGTTGGTTCTGAACAAGCACGACACACCAATGAGCCAGCCTCATTACAAATAGGTCAGTTCAGACACAGTCTAAATGTTAACGAACAACCACAATACACCAATGTGAATGTATACCATGCCATTATCGACCACTCTACAAGTAATATGGGCTTTGCCTTCCCAATCCGATTTCGATTCAAATTACTTTATTTGGCTCGGTTGCTTTTATCTCTTTTTTATTATGTTACCAATTTTTATTATTTTTTAAGCATGTAACCTTGTTTTTTAAAAAAGCATGTAACCTAATAATGTAATGCTTTACAATTTTTTTAAGACCTTGCTGTTAGAGAAATAGGGCATTTATTTACCTTCAAACAAAATTCGTGATAAGTAAGACATGTAATTTATGTGTTAGAATAATGTTTTTTATGTGTTAAAATAATGTATATTATGTTTTAAAATAATGTACATTATGAATTATAAAAAATGTATGTTACAGTAAGTCGCGTGATAAAAAAAAATACGCAAAATGACGTCATTTTTGGATCGTGGTCCACACAAATGTATGGACCACAATCCATGCAATAACTATTGGTATTTGCCTATTTGGTAGATTTACAGAAATATTGTAACTTTTTCCTTTAGATGATATGTAGGCAGAATGAAGATGATGCAAGAAATACATTAACACAAAAACACACTCAAGGAACCTAAAATGCAGGATCCATGGTAACTGAATTCTACAAGTATTTATTGTATGTCTAGATGCAAACTTAACATGACCTTTGTATATAACTTTAGATGAACACATCACATTTTCAACGAGGAATCACATGCCATTTGCCAAATAACTGACTTCTTTCCTTTCTTATAGAAAGTAACATCGATGCCATCAGATCACAAGATGCTTAGCAGCATCCGGAAAAGAAAGAAAAGCCTCGACTAGCCGAGGTCCCAAGGGCATTCTAGTAGCCAAATCATCCATTTCCTAGTTCACATATATGCTCCAGAATCCATTCAAGTCAATCAAACCGAGCACAAGTCATATAAAAATTAAAGAGCCGAACTCAAGTTTAATATAAATAATTTCTATTTTAGCATCTGGACTAGTATGAGAAATGACGGTACATATCCATCGTGCAAAACCAGCGACCTTGCATCACAATGTACAAAGTAACAATTCAACTTACGATCAACTAAAACCATCCAGAAACCACTAGCTACAAACCTAATAGCTTTCATATGATCAATCAATCTCATACAAGGCACTTTACCATGTAAGGGCCTTCTAGTTCATAGCCCAACTTCCTATAGTAATGGCGGGTTCCTACACCCGAGATAACAGCTATCTTTTTCGATCTATGCTCCTGACAAGCTATCCGCTCTGCCTCCTCCATAAGCAAGGTCCCATAGCCCTGGTGCTGCAGCTTATCTGCATCACGCCCATGAACAGGGACAGCGGTCCCATATACGTGAAGCTCCCTTACAATAGAACATCTTCCTGTAAGTTCTGGGCAAGTTACGTTCTTTCCACATTTGCGCAGTCGAAGTAAACCTACGAGAATATCCTGCACCCAAAAGGAACGCGTGAGGTTTCAGCACCAGGTAGGGCAGCCACGCAAGTTTGAAGATTGAAGTATAATGTTGCAATAAATAGGTAAAAATGCACTGTTTCTTTTAAGTTTCCTGGTTGTGGTCTGTGGAGTTGGAGCTGCAATGAAAAATGCAGAAAAGGGCAAGTGAACATTAGTATAGCGTACCTGACGTGTATCTTCGTATGAGAGAAAAGTTTCCCAGCCCTCATTTGCTGTATAGTCACGACGAACAAGTTCAACTTCCTCTGGTTTAATTTTATGGTGAATGTCCTGATATTTACCACCAAATAAAAAAAAAAAATGAACATTTTAAAAAGGAGGTAATTAACCAAATCTAAAAAAAAAAAAAAAAAAAAAAAAAAAAAAAAACAAGCTTTCAGCAATCAAGCACTAATAATGCATCTAAAGTCCAGTAACAATATTCAGTCACCTGGATTCCAGCTTCACGTGTTCTAACATCTCGACACTTCAAGCCAAGATCATCCATACGAGCTAAGGCCAATTCACGAAGATTTCCCTTCTCGACTCCTGAAGTTACTAAAGGCATAGGAATGTCCCGCTGAACTCTATAAACACGCGTCCACGGGGGAACCATTGCAAGGATTCGAGCAACAATGTCAACCAACTGCTCAGGGGGATAGTTTCTATATCTGCACACAATGACAACCAAGTGAATACCTTCTTCGAGAAGAAAAATCATCTTAACACCTTCATATAGCAGATCAGTAGTAGCAGGAAAAAATAGTTTGGAATCAATGATCTGAAAACAGAAATGCTGAAAGACCTGAGGAAAACCCTGCAAAAAAAATCGTACAATAACAGAAACAACAATTTTACCTTCCAGTTTTCCAGAGTTCATAGAGTCCAGTCCCGCGAATAACTAGTGTCGGATAAATTTTAAGCCCATCGGTTCTGAACATAGGGCTTTCAAAAAATTCCTTAAAACTCTCCAGGTCTCTCTCAACTCCAACATTTGGAAGATCTGGCATCATATGAGCAACTACCTACAGAGGAAAAGTCAAATGTTAAAAGAACAGAAATAAAAAATAGCTAGCTCAAGTTTGACATTAGACAACAAGCAGCAACAAATCAAACAAGATAGAGCAAATGTACCTTGAAACCAGCATCCTTTGCCAGGCAAAAGCAATCAGCCACAGCTGCCACTGTGTGGCCTCTATTAGTGTCACGAGCAACATCCTCGTATGTGCTTTGAACTCCAATTTCCAAACGTGTGCAGCCATAAGAAAGCATCTGTCGTAAATGAGGCCCAAGGCAGTAATCTGGCCTCCTGCAATTCAAATAAAGCATAATGAAGAAAATGTTCCATCACATTAAATCAAACATCCCAAGCAAGCGGAATCACTATAATGATCTGTATTTCAGTAAGATTTTTTATTTTTTTTTGCAGGCAACATTCTGAGCAAGTACATCACTTGTTTCAAGTCCACAATTATTAATTTGCAGCGCAAGCAAGAATTTGGTACTTGGTAATTACTAACATGGCAATAAACTTATTGAAATAGTAACTCACGTTTCAATAGTCATTCCAATACATTTTACAGCACTATGCTCTGAGTATGCAACTGCCTCTTCAACATTGGCAGAAGTATGCCCTGATAAAGCATCATGAAGATTCCTGGTAAAATAGTCTCTGTAGTCTGCTGGCAATGACATAAAAGTGCCTCCCATTAAGATGAATTCTACCTGCAGATTAAGTATTCCAAAATGAGCAAATGATCAAGGGTAACTAACTCTAAATGGATAGAGTTTATGATATGACAAACCTTATCAACACTGTGGCCCAACCTCTTAAGTTGATCAATCCTGCTTCTAGCCTGGACATAGGGATTATATCTGTACTATTAAGGCATTATTAATTAGAAAACCAATGGCATCATCGTAACCACAATGCATTCTCTTTCTAAAATACTTTTACATCTTCAAAGCCCGGAACTCTAATTTCTCCAAGAGGTAGATGCAAGATATAATGTTAAATTGTTTACAACAATGAAGGGAGTATGTAGAGGAAAATGAAGATGGGGCCATTTGTTAAGGCTAATTAAACTTCTCAAGATGCAAAGAGAAATGATATGTTGGTCAGCCTAATATTTATTACTCATACTAAAGAATATTATTTGCCCTCGTAAAATTCCAATAGCATGGTCAACACTTATGGTTAGACAGAGGTTGTATGGGTGCAAAGAATCTTCCTTCAGAAAAGCTTTTGTACATTCATGAATTTGGCATCCCCTTGCAGGAAGGAAAATGCCAATCTATAACAAGTCTCAAAACCATACCTAGTACATGCATTCCAAGTTCTATAGCTCAATTGTATAAATAACTCGTCTTCATTTGGCATTAGCAATAAAACAATTCTTACTGTTTAGCATTAAAAAGCCAATCATACAATTCAAAATAAATTATGTAACAAAACTTACTAAGACTGCCTAAAACTATTTCAATTCCAGTCCCATAAGGAGCAAATAACATATAGACCTAGGGTTTAGGGTTTAAACAAAAAGATGAAGAAGCCGTCGCTTACCTAGCTCGAATAGCTCGCATACTGGTTGGCTCGTAACCCGTATACGACTGAGTACTATATTCGAAATCCGAATCCGGCCCGCCGGGGCAATAAACACAAATATTCCCAGTGGTAGCTATGTGAGGGCATCGATGGGGCTTCGACATGACGGCCACTACAGCAATACCGGAGGCGGTACGGACAGGCTTGGCACGCAGTTTCGGCAGTAGTGACTCGCGCTCCGTCTCCGGCAACGCCGCAATCATCTCTACTAGCTTGGGGGCACGGGAGAGGCCGTATTTCCGGCAAGTTGCTGACTTGAGGGCGTTGAGGTCCACATCCTTGCCCCTCCGGGAAAGGTCCACCATATTGTTCACGATCTCGGCTATCGCGCGGACTCGAGCCTCCTCCTCCGTCATGCCGTGAGAGACCACC